TGTGAGTGTGTGTGTGTGTGTGTGTGTGAGTGTGTGTGTGTGTGTAATAATTTACATAGCGTAAAATGTGTTTGCTTTTGTATCTCAGAGTGGTATAATGTGTCCAAAATGAATACTTCATAACAATGCAAATGAAAAAAAAATCATGTTTGCAACCCGTGTCCCAATACACCATAACATTACAATATGGACGAAAAAAACCAAGTGCTTACTATAATATCTGCTTTGTTTATGGGTGTATCTTGAAGCAACTGTATTGACCAACAAATAAAAAGCGCCAACTAACAATAGTAGTTCAAACTCGAGCGGAAAAAATAATTACCCAAGGTTAGCTGTGCTGACTATCGTAAAATTATAGCACATTATTATCTTAGGAATCTCCAACAGCACACACGCTGACAGAAAGTCCGTCAGGTCATTCAGGGCACGCCTGACACAGGGCTCCAATTGAAATCTTCTCACTCCAGTAAGCCAAAAGAAGATCAGATTGACAGACAGGGTCACTAATGAAAAAATGTTATACCAGGTGCCTATTGCGGATGGGATCGGGTCGGGTAGGGTTGGGTAGGGTCGGGTAGGGTAGGGTCGATCGCACGACTCGTCATCTTATACGGGGTGCCCACAACGGATGGGATCCGCCCATCGGGCTGATCGCCCGACTCGATCGCCTAATACAGGGTACCCACTACGGCTGGATAGGGCCGATCGTCCGACTCAATCTTTGTTTTTGAGGCGATCGAGTCGGGCGATCGGCCCGATCGGCCGTCCCATCCGTAGTGGGCACCCCGTATAAAAAAACAAATGTGTTTGTTTTCAGTTTCAGGCGATCGCGTCGGGCGATCGGCCCGATCCAGCTGTAGTGGGCACCCCGTATTAAAACAAAGGCGTTTGTTTTTTAGGAGACTAGTCGGGCGCGCTTGGCTTGTGCCACAATTTATAGCCGTCACATTCGGTCTGACTAGCAAACCGACCCGACCCGCCCGACCCAATCCCTCAATGGGCACCAAGGAGAACAAGATAGAGCTTAGTCAGAGATGAGGTGGAGAAAAGGCGGTGGCGATGGATTGGACATACTCTCAGGAAGTCAGGCTCCTGCATAACAAGGAAAGTACGTGTTGGATAGGAACCCACACGGTAAAAGATCAAGGGGAAGACGACGTGGAACCTGGAGAAGAGTAACAGAAATTGATATACAAAAAAGTGGGAAGACATGGAATAACATCAAGAAGCTAGCCCTGGATCGGTTTAAAGTGTTTTTTCGTGGTAAATTACCCTGATCCTGGGTGAGAATGGCAATATGCTGACGATGGAGAAAAATCAAGTTGAGATTGTAAGACATGACATTATTGGATCAAAGGATCAGGCAAAAAAACATTCTTCGTATATTGAACAGTGAAGAGGAAAAGAGCGAGGGTGGATGGGGATT